CCAGGAATTCCTGGTTTTCCTCCCCATGAGAAATGGGGAGCCATGCAGGAAAAAGCAGGCCGTAGCGAACATCACGTCGGTTGCGAAGAAGCCTCCTCACCTCCGTAAATGCCACTCGAGCCCTGGCCACAGCTGCCGTGTAGTCAGATGTGATGATGATCGGTGAATCTTTAATTCGAAGAGGACCACGGCTCCGAGCCCAGTATTTCCACACATTTTTGATAATAGTGCAGTTTAGCGACAATAACCCGCGGCTTACTGCCTGACCTGTTTCCACTTGGAGAGCAATGGGCTCGGTCCACCAGTGGCTCTTTATCCATCTGTAGAACCTCTGCTAGCAGTTTAGCCACTGCTGAAGTGTAGCTGGGCTCTGGCGTTTCAGGAACTCCAATAATCCACACATTGCACCTTCTGATGCGCCCTTCCATATCGTCACACTTCTTTTGGAGCCCGACGACTTCTTCTTTCAGTTCCAACACGGTGGTGCGTAGATTAACAACCTCGTCGGACTAGGACGATAGGCCGCTCTCCACCTCCTTAACGCTCTGTTTCACGTGGTCCAGATCTGCTCGCAGTAGCATCGTGCCGTTAGCCACTTCAGCTCTCACCGCCTGCAGCTCCCCTTTAATAAGAGTAAACTCTTCAGCCAAAGCCGCTTTTATTTTAGATTTGATCACAGTTGAGAGATCGGTTTTTATAGCGGCAAGAATGTCAGACTTCAAGGAGAGTGCGTCCACCTCACTACGGGAGGGAGAGGAGGGCGTTGAAGCTCCGGTCCTAGCTGCAGTCTGCTCCAAGGCGGCGTCAGGCCTAGTAGCAGTCGAGCTAAAATGTTTGGCTTTCCTCGAGTTTGTCACCATTTTTCTACTCTTCCAGGCAAGAATCACTCAGGGGTCGAGTCTGGATGGACCAAATGTTCAAAATAGCAAGGACATTTAGTATAGAACCACAAACTGAACAAGTCGGAGCGGGAGCCACGCGACACACGTCTCACTCCTCTGCCATTTTGCCCTGCCCCTTCTCTTCATTTCTTTGAGTGTTCCTGAAAGTCAACAAGTTGACCTTAGGAATAACCTTATTATTGTATCATGTTTTTGATTTGAGTTTGTTTTACAGAATGAAATGTCCGAATGAGTGCTCATCAAAGACTGCTGATTCCAGACTTTTTGCCAGGGGTTGTAGTTACTTCCCAACGCTGGTGTTAACACTATGCCAAAAAGGAACAATAACAGCAGCAACCTCAAAGAAATGATTCCTGCCCATCAAGCTGGGTAGGGTCTCAATGTCAGTTTCAAACAAAACAGAATTCATCATGTTACAGCAAGAAAGATTTTCACCAGTGAAAACTGTTTGACAGCTGCAAAGTTTTCCAGGGGACATCTGAATAAATTCCCCTTCAGATTAGACTCAAAGAAATCACAAAACAAGCAAGAGCTCCATCATTAACGGTGTTTCCATCAAGGCTTTTTGATTCGCATTTAGAAGGGTCACATTAAAAATGCGGGCAAAAAAAGTCGGATGGAAACAGCAAAATTAAAAAAAAATACATCCTCAATTCACTAAAAAGTTTTTACTCTCGCTTGAGGTGGTTTTTGGATGATTCACAAAGTAGTTAATGCGCAAAACGGGAGATGGAAACACATTTGCCGAATAAATTCTGACGTAGCGCATATTTACCTCATGTGACGTTCAGCTGTTTACGTTTTCCTGCCTCGTCCTGGATGTTATCATAAACGTGCGAAAACATGGCTGCGAACAACAACAACAGGTACGTGTCTACTGACGAAGAGACAAGAACATTTCTCTCTTTAATTTGCAAAAGAAATGTTAAATTAGCTGTTAAGCCGTTAAATCGCTCCATTGTCCCGAGATGATTAGCCTCTGCTAGTTAGCAAGTTTTACTACCTGTTTATTACCGCAAAGCTTGTCGTCGACGTCTGACGTAATCACGCGTTGTGTAGCCTCATCTGACGTAATCACGCATTGCGTAGCCTCATCTGACATAATCACGCGTTGCGTACCCTCGTCTGACGTAATCACGCGTTGCGTAGCCTCGTCTGACATAATCACGCGTTGCGTAGCCTCATCTAACAAAAATCACGCGTTGCGCAGCCTCTTCTGATGTAATC